TAACAAAATATTCATAATTCTGGGTACCGTGCACCCAGTGTGATGGGCGGTATCTCACCCTGCAGGATTACATCATTGTAACTGTGATCAAGATGAGCAGTAAACACACACTTACTGCCAGGTGAAAACCTCAACCTCTGATATTTGTGAGTTAAATGAGTCAGCTAACAGCTAATAATGTCATTATCCACTGTGGAATAACATGTACAATACAGGCATTAAGTGTCCCACTAAAGCCCACTAGCGTAGCCTCAATGATGTCCGCTCATTAGCTAGAAACAAGGCTGCACTGTTTTCACAGAACGTGTTCCATCTACTTTGAATACTTAATTTGCATGTTGACAGAACAGGACAAGAACAAATTAAATTCTAATTGTACCCTGAAAAAACTAACAGCTGCATCTTCCAGAAATCACTTGTATGCTAGTGCTTCACATACACATCTGGAAGAGAGAGTTCTACAATGCCGTTACCTGGTCCACCTGGTTGTATCTGGCAATGTCCTTGTGCAGGGTTCTCAGCATGATCATGGCCACCATGCCAGACAGGAAGAGGACAATGACCAAGGAGTTCATGATGCTGGACAAACACACAAAGACATACTATAGCATGAAGTAACAAGCAGCGAGACCCGGCATGTTTTCTGTGCTGCACAATGTGAAAAATATCTTCATACCTAAACCATTGGATGTTGGTGTGAGGCATGGAGACAAGGATGTAGTCCCACCTAGAGGCCCACTTGATGGAATTGTTTTCCTGTAAAATGAAGTATAAAAGTTGCAAAAAACCATCACAGACAAAAAATAGCCACATAGAAATTGTTATATATTAGTTATAGTACAATTGGGCATGTAGTTTGGAGGCCTACCTCAAATGTGACAGAGTAGGTGTAAACTATCGACACATCACTATCAAACGGCCCAGGGACCTCCATTGGGCTGCCTCCTTCACAATTTGGATTTTTTTCATCTGTTTGTTTGATGCTGTTGTGCACAAAACACAGAAAATCCCTCATGTTAAATTATTAACATATCTAGTGTTGATTTTGAACGGTGAGGTAGATTAGACATAAATCAAAATATGTTCACATCATATTAAACCAATCGCAATTACCTCTTTGGCTCCAGAGTGGCAGCAACCAGCCGGGCCCCTCTCCATCCTTCTTCTGCTCCGCTGTGGTAAGTGATCTTGATGTCCACATGGTTGAAGACGTAAAATGTGTTCTTCTTGTTGAACTCGGACTGAGAATAAAAAAATGTTATTCAATATCAAGTGCTCAAATTCCTCGAGGATAGATTTGTAAACAAACATCTGTATGTTGTTCGGTATCTTCTATACTGTAATTGTACTATTCAAAACATTAAATACAGTTTGAGACAAAATGACAAAATGTTAATTGTGAATAAAGGATTTATTTTGTATTCTTTTAACATAATAAGCTAATATGCTCTATAAATACTCACTAAACTCAGCAAAATGATGTATATTATTATGAAAAATAGAATTTTGAAATGATTACATTATGTGATTAGTTGTCAAAGAGCAACATCATATTATTATCTATATCTTTCAGGCACAACCCTTCACAAAATAAAACATCCCGTCAGAAAGCAGGAGAACAATTATCTCAAACTTACTAAATATGTTGAGTAGAGTACACACGTTCAAAGACAGAAAGCAGAACTCACATTGATAACACAAGCATCTTTAGCTCGGCCATCTATTGTAACGAGGCAGCCAACGGGGAAGCCTGGGTTACAGTACTTCTGACCATCTTCCACATCATAGCACCATGTCACCGGCATGTTGTCAATGATCCTGGGAAAAAAAAATAAATTGGTTTACCTAAACAATCTTCTTGATAAATAAAGCCTGCGCTTGCATCGGTTAGCTTCATCTGTTGTCGTCCATCTTTCAAACAAACCCAACCCTACTTTACATAACTCATGTGAAGTAACGACTGAAATTACAATGCAGTATGACATTTACAAACCAGTGGTGCTGGTAGTTCAGCTGCATTCCCATCTTAAGAAATTCCAGTTTGGTTGCATCTTCCTTATTGTCTTTCTTGTAGGTTTTGGAGCACACCGCCTGGCATTTCACATCTTGTTTGAAGTTGATCTGTTAAAAGGCAAATGAGAGTCATGTTGCATTAATATAATACATGAAACAAAACTTATATGAAAACACCACACAGGCTTAGATTTTCTGGTTATCACCCACCTTGTATGGTGAAGACTCAATTCGTTCACCAAACAGCACCTGTCCAAGGTTCTCAGAAGGCCTCTTCTCCTGGGCATCTTTGCAAAAGTCAAACCTTTAAAAATGTCATAGATGGTCACACAGAGAGAAGATGTCATTGAGCTGGAAAACATACGTCCAAAAATGTCTCAAATGGCATGAAGGAGAAAAGAACTGTTACTTACACATCATACTCATAAGGCAGGACTGACTCCACAGAGTCCAAGCGATTTACAAACAGCTGAATCACTGTCTGTAAGGAAGGAAAAGCAGTTTGTCTCTCAGTGTATTTTTGGTAGTTAAACTGGTTTACACAGGCCCAAAGCTGACAGGTTGAGGTTGCCCATCGTTGTCTTGGTCACTCCAAACTAGCCTTGGGAGGTAACGTAAGCAGAGCTGTGGAGAGTTGTTTTCTATCATAATTCGTTAGTTGAATCAGGGCTCCTGGTGTCAGGTAATAGACTGGGCCTAAAAAGAGGTTTGGCTAGCTAGCAAGATTAAGGAGGATAACAAATTTCAATGAATATGCAAATTACAGCTACAGTATAAAAATGCAATAACGCTACATTACAGACAAACGGTCGGTCTCGTGAATTCAACATACCTGGCAATCTTCGCCGCCTTTGGCGTCTTCACAAAAACTCACTGGGGCTAAACCCGGAAGATAAAACGCAGAGCACAAACAGAAAAACGAGACTAGCGAATAAACTAGCATAACACTAACGTGTATCCGCCTCTTCATTGTTATCACAGACGGGATTCTCCTTAGACTGTATATACGTATGTCCAAGGACGGTGCTTCCTTCTTCTAAGAAGAGGGGAGGTTTGCTAGCTGTACACTGTTAGCTAGCTCCGTCGTTCTACTCGGGACGCAGTAGCTCATCTGTGCTCAAGCAGCATCGGTGACGTTCAACTCCATAAAGTTACGTGGAAGCCACAACAACAGTACCGGAAGTTGAACTATTTCACCTTCACAATAAAGGTGTATAATAAGTAATCTGTTTGGTATGTAGGATTTATACATTTGTAACAGATGTGGATACAACAATTACACTTTCTTCATACGATACGTTTTGTATGAATACGATTCTAATCAATTACAGTCTCAGTTTAATCTAGGTACACCCGCAATGGTTTTATGTTGAAAGGAAATAAATACAACTTCCGGCTTCGTTCTGAGCGACCTGCTTGACACCGTGGAAGTGAGAAAGTAGCACTGACGTTGCTTATTGATGCATAAACATCCTGGTTTTCTTTATACTGAACATAAGTTAGAAAAAATATTATATACGGTTGTTTTTTGTGTGAAAGATATATAGATAGTATTCGAGATAAGATGAAAGAAACATAACTACATTCCGATTACTGACTAATTTTAGAAACGTAACTGACTTGAAAAACCGGATGGTGTAAAGCTGCAACCACCACTCACCAGTTACATTAAAATGCTGCTTAAATGTGAGGGCATCAATATGATAATACAAAATAGATCTAATAATGCAATACTCGATTAGGGGTAATTTAGTAAATGTTGTATTTTTGGTGCTTTATATATATTTAGCTGTTATTTTTTTAAACAAGTAACATTTTTAATTTTTTGAATGCAGGACTTTTACATGTATTGTCGTGCAGTATTTCTACAACTTTCTTAAGTCCATTCGATACTGTACAATTTTATATTTTATAAGTTTATACTGGTAAATACAGATGGATGACAAATTAAAGGGAAAGCGTGAATAAGTGAGGGATGAAACATAACAAATGTCCCCAGTGCTGGATCATGGTCCTGTGAGGCCCCTGGGCACATGTCCTTTGCCCTTTTAGAACAAAATAAAGTATATCTATGGAGAATGTTGTGCTCTTGTAGCAAATGTTGTGCCTTTGTAAACAATTCAACACATTGTTTGTATAGATATGAATGCTGATGACGAGGCAAAATAGTCACACCCACAATGCATGGTTATCAAGACAGGGTCAGTGTTTCAAGACAGGTTGAGTTGTTTGCCATCATTAACGCAGATCTCTGACACTGACGACACTGGTCTCACATTGTAAGCAGTGAGGGGTCTGTGGGGTCTTAGTTGTGGGTTCACATTTTAAAAAACAAGAAGTGTAGGGGCCCTCACATTGTAAGTGCTGAGGGATCTTGGGGTCCTAGTGGTTTGATAATGCTAAAAGCACCCAGGGACCTAGTGGTCAACTTACGCTGTGCCCATTGAGGGCCCTGACGTTGTGGGTATGCTAGAATCTTATTTTCTTGGATAGGCTTATGTATCTGAAATGGGGCTTAAATTAAGAATCTGCCCCAAGAAGGAATGTATAGCCTACATCCAGGTCAAGCTGAGAGAAGATTAAGGAATTGTTCTCTGAATAACAGATATGATAGATCTAATAAAACCCTCTGATGATTTATGTGAATGTGTCTCTTCAAAATAGTAACCGATACTGGCTACTTTTGGTCTGCAACAAACCAATTGGTGCACACAGATTTATAACTGGGTATATTCTTCTTTTCTTTAAAAATCACATGGCATCTCCAAAAACTTAAAGTTTCTTTCCATTATTTTGTGACATCACAACCACAGTTAGTTTGGAATTTTGTTTAATATGTAATTCAGTAGAAGATCGTGTGGATTTGTCCATTCTACTATACTGTAAATAGGACACAAACCATGAACTGTAAACACTTTAAACAGGATTCGCAGTTAACTGTAGGTGGCAGCGTTACGTTTTGGGGCGTCTGGTCTACCGGAAACAGGAAAGAAGAAGAAGAAGAAGGAAGGGCGAGGAACAACCGTTACACAACGTAGTTTACACAAAGCCGCGAACAGTACAGTCTGGTAACAGCTGACTGCGTGCTTGCATACTTAATATAAATCACATAGCACTGTTGCTTTTTATTATTATTATTTTTTAAAGTAGCGTGTTGGCATTGGAAAGCTCGAGTACCCTGTTAGCTAGAATACTTGCTAGCTAGCGTTAGCAAAGTAACTAGGTAAAACAGCTGGCACGTTTATCGCCATTTTGCGCAATCAACAGTCCAGGAACAAGGTAATCACCACACTCATGTCTGGATACTTGAGGGGAAATACAGCGTAGCAGGCTTGTGCTTGCAAATGCTACAAGTTCCAATGACAATATACGCTGTTTGCAGGTGGTGTATCGCTCAGCATGGCAGAGGCAGACCGACCAGGGAAGCTCTTCATCGGCGGACTGAACACCGAGACCACCGAGAAGGCCCTGGAGCAGTATTTCAGCAAATATGGCAGGATTGTCGAAGGTGCGACCGAAACTACTGTTGACCAATGTATCTTCAATTTCGTACATGGGTTAACTCTTGATAAAATAGTCAATATCTGTGCAATTATCTGTCGGTTTACGTAATTCTTAAAATTGCGTATTTCTTTGCTGATTCGCGCTTTTAATGCATATCAAAAGCGTGCAGCCTGGCTGTACTTGTAAAGGCATCAAGTGCCCGCCTTTTCACATTTAAGGGGGGTTACCATAAGACTTCATTGGTATTAATTTTGAATAATTAAACAATCATTCAATCACAAGTTCACTTTTTCCAGTCCCCACTTTCTCTTCACTTAACATGAAGCCTATTCTGAGCTGAGGTTATTGTTTACTATGAAGAAATAAGACTGTCTTTAAACTATGCACAAGCTCACCTCTCACTCTGTATTTCCTCTTTTCAGTTATTTTGATGAAAGACCGTGAAACAAACAAATCAAGAGGCTTTGCCTTCGTTACTTTTGAAAGTCCGTCTGATGCAAAGGATGCAGCGCGTGAGATGAATGGAAAGGTAAGTGCAATCTTAAAGCAGCCATAATCTTTAAAAAAATAATAAAAATCCGTTTGAATTTGTGATTGTAATTTTAACTCTTTCACCAGTCTCTTGATGGCAAGCCGATCAAAGTGGAGCAAGCAACAAAGCCTCAGTTTGAGAGTGCTGGCAGACGAGGACCTCCACCAATGCACTCCCGCAGTCGTGGTCCACCCAGAGGCCCCCGTGGTTCCAGGGGAGGTCCTGGTGGGATGAGGGGCCCACCGTCCAGAGGTAAATTAATGTGTTCAGTTGAGTTTGTACTATTATAGAATGTGTTTCTAGTTCAAAATCCTCACTGAATGTAGTTTTTTGTTCAACATCTTTGGAGCCTATGTGTTAATATTTGCATTTCTTGTCTGTGAAAAGACTACTATGATAATTCAGGGAATGCAGACTCCTTCTTTAAAGGGATGTCATCCAGGGGTCCCCCTCCGATGAAGAGAGGACCTCCAGTTCGTAACGGAGGTCCTCCTGCCAAGAGGTCTGCCCCATCTGGTCCCATGAGCAGAAGTAAGTGTGCTGGCTGTGTAGCCTTCAACAGCTCCTCTGTAAAGTACCCAGACACATTTGGTGATTAATAAGCATGATTTTTTTTGTGTTACTTTGTATGTTCCAGCCCCCATGTCAAGGGACAGGGATCCCTATGGTCCACCCCCTCCTCGCAGAGACTCCATGATGTCCAGGAGGGATGATTATCCGTCACCGAGAGATGACCATTACAACTCCAAAGACAGGTGGGATACTTATTTACCATTGGCTACATTATACAGTGGGCTGACACTATGCACTACGGTTTTGCTGAGCTGAAACAAAAGTATTTTGAATATTAGTTTCTGACATCTCTATAGCGTTTTGTTATACACCAACTGCGATAGTTTTATTTACTTAAAAAAAAAATAGAAGTAATTTGAATCCAAATTCAAATATGTGATTCAGATTCATATCTTACACATCTTAAATCTGTCTGTTACCCTTCTCTTACCTCATTTGAAAACGGTTTAGATCTTAGGCAAAAATAAAGCATAGAATATCTACTATAATGTGGTTACAGTGTTGTAGTTATTTTCGCTTTGTTTTACAGCTACTCGAGTCGGGATTATAGTTCCAGAGATTCAAGGGACTATGGAGCTCCCCAAAGAGATTGTTCATACAGAGAATACTCCAATTCCAGTTCCCGAGATGACTATGGCTCAATGTCAAGAGGATACAGGTATGGGTTGATACAAAAAGGTAAAAGACTGAGATTGGATCTCACCTGGTCCTTTAAATAACAATTGTTCCCATTATGTAGTGACCGTGAGGGTTATAGCGGAGGCCGGGAACCCAGAAGCTATGTGGACCGTTCAAGTGGTGGCTCCTACAGAGATTCATATGATGGTTACGGTAAGATATGACTGCATTAGTGTAATGACAGACAGGTAACCACTGTGGCACAAAGAAAGAAGAGCTGCACGAATAACCAACCAATTCATACCATTGACTACCGCAGTCTCCAGTCACAAGAGGCTGCCGTTTCTCTTCTCCCCAGAGGAAACAGCATTTCAAGCAGCCTCGTAAAGCTTTTCTCTTTCCCTTTGCCGCACCCCAAACCTGCAATCCAAGTTGCACATTTCATGCTATTAAAAATATATGGCCATTGGCATCTCAACTGAAAAACAAAATTCTATTCAAAAGCTGTTTCCACATATCCCAGTCCATGTTACTGCTGCATTTGGCAACAAAAAAAAAGAAAAATCTGTTTGTGGCAATATCATGTGGAATATTTAATGAGCCCCAGAGAGTTTGCAACCATAAGGAACCCCAAAAAGTCCTTGGAAACATCCGTTGACCACTGAGTATGTGTTGCCTAGCAAAGCACTCCCTCAAGGAGTAACGTTCAAAAAGTACATCAAGACAACTCTGAAAACCTCGTCCTTACCTGCAATTCTAACACTTGGAGCTCTAAAAGGAAAAATGGCTTCTCAAATCAATGGCATGCTGAGATGGGTAACACCGCCCGTTTATTCCCTGTGCTTGGATATATTACTGCCCGTATCAACTAAACACCCATGTTAGACGTAAGCTCGATAACATGATGGGACATTTAAACATGTCGTCCATTTAATTTATTTGTCAGCGAATTAATTCTATTGGCCAAAGAGAAATGAGCACGTCACAGTGCAAGAAAGTGTATAAATTGAACCTTGCCAATTACCTGACCCATTGACCCTGCAGGTAACTCTCGCAGCGCCCCACCTTCACGGGGCCCCCCACCAGCCTATGGTGGGAGCAGTGGAAGCAGTCGTTACGATGACTATGGCAGCAGCTCCCGGGATGGCTATGGCAGTCGTGACAGTTACCCCAGCAGTCGGAGTGAGCCATACCCACCTAGCCGTGGTGAGCGAATGGGCAGGCAGGAGAGGGGCCCAGCTCCCCCTGTCGAGAGAGGCTACCCTCCTCGTGATTCGTACAGCAGCTCAAGTCGTGGAGGGCCACGTGGTGGGCGCGGTGGCAATCGGCCTGATAGAGGGATGGCTCGCAGCAGATACTGAACTGGACTTGGAAATCACATTAAAGCAAACCGTAGACTCCGTGCACCGTAAACAAAGTGTTGTGGAAGAAATCTGACAACCAGACAAACTAGCCATGTCTAAAACTGTGGAATATGAAGCTTAGCTTTGACCTGTATCCTGACTTTTCCAGTTTGTGTAAACGTTTTTTTTTAATTTTTTTTAATTTTTTTAGTATTTCTCTTGGTCGTGTAACCGTACAGTTACCAAGTGGGTGTTAGTTTTTTTTGTACATTCAGTGCTGTTGGAATCTGCAATGCCCTTTCAGTCTGGCTTTCCTACTCTAATAAAGCTTTTAGTTGTACCTTGACCACTGCTCATCGATTTTCAAGCGGGACCAAAGAACGTAACATGAATGTAAAGTTGCAACATGATCTCGTTTGCAATGCTCTCTGCAAAGCATAGGTGAGTCTCTGCCCATGACAAATGTGCCGTCGACTGGACGCTACTGTTTTCAAGGGTTAGGCCAATGTTACTGTCAAAATGTTCCATGTAGTTTCTTTGGAAATGGATCCATCACCATAGAGCCATTTGATGGCATGCAACGACAAAGCCAAAGGCAACAACAACAACAACCAAATGCAGCTCGACTGGTAGTCAACAGCTGGTAAGCAAAGCAAACCTCTTTGTTTCTCATCTGTAAATGAGTTTCTCTTTGTCCTGTATTGCAATCTCCCCACAAAGGGTGGTACTCGAGACGACGTTTGCCTCAGAAGACAAAAAAAAAAACATGGAGGTCAACTGAATGTGCCGTTTTCATTGTAGTCGGTTTTCGCGAGCTAACATTGTCAAAAGTGCAGCAACAATCCAAGAAGTTTCGTCCCTTTTCAGCAATGAAAGTTTAACCGCCATTTTGCCCACTGTGCCCTCACAATGACCCCTTTTAACCAATCGTCAAACTCAGTAAAATGATTGGCTACAGTACATTTTTTTTAAATTATTAGTAAAGATGTCCCGAGTTTTGTCTTTGGGGGGGGAATTTAAAGCCATTTTTTTTACATTAAGAGCCATTTACTCGGTATCGAAACCTTTTCCACGAGCATGCCAATCGAAACAACGGAGACCTCTGGAAGAACACCATTGTCCTAACTGGAAACAATCGCAGAAGCAAATTCGCAGTCGGACCAAGGACTAAAAAAAAAAAAAAATTTTCAGATGTTTTATGAATACATGATTAAGAGGAGGGCAACGTGTTAATTGTATGTTCTCGTTGCAGGATAAACGGCCCTCCAAGGCAACTGCCCTTGCAACTAACCAGAATTCTGTCCTCAAGATGTTTGGACCAATTAACCCTCAGTGCACCAGTGCCGGTACGTCTACCAGGCTAAATGATTGAGTGGGTTCATATCCCTGTGAAATACAATTGTTGATGTAATCCGTTGTTTGTGATGTTTACTGTATTTCAGGTGCTGGCACAGGTTTCCGTTGAGTGCCGGTGGAATCCTGTCTTCAAGTGGGAATGCGTGTTGAAAGTGGGAAGAACACAAGCCGAGGATTTGCTCAAATCAAAGTGTTCATGGTGTTTTCAATAAAGACTATAAAGAACCCATTGTTTACTTTGTTTTGTCTTATCATATAAGAGCTCAATTAGCACAATTCTAACCCAAATTGGTTACTATAGTTCTTAAAATTGACCTGCTTATGACAAACTTCTTGTTTACCTGATTCTGAAGCTTTAATGAATATTTAAATTCATTAAGGATTTAATTCCTTTTTCCTCCTGCAAATGTCACAATGCAATATACAGAAATAAGTTGACATGGCAAAAGTCACAGCTTACCGTGTCAGAAAACTTCACAATGACCCAATTTCCATCATGATCAATATTTTAACTACAGAAGATGCAATGTGTTTCAAAGCTAGTGTAATGACTATTTACATGCACTCATCAAATAACCAGTTATTCCTACATTTATTTTTTCTGTTGCAAAATATGCTGATGCACGTCAGATATCATCTCCCTGGTGGTGTTTCCTGATCATTGCTGCACTTCTACTTGTAACATATTAGAGAAAGTGCCTTCGGCCAACATGTGGTGCTTTGCAGAGGAAAACGACTCCTGTCTATTGTTGAGGTGCCTATTTGCCAGTAGGGGTGATCATCAGTTTTGCGTGTAGAAACAGAGTCGTCCTTCCCCCCACCGCCTCTTTCTTTTCTTTTTTTAACTTTTAGCAGAAGTGCGGATGTGAGTTGCATATTGATACGGAACAGGCCGCCAGTTTTGTTTTTTTGTTGTGTGTGTGTTTTTTTTTAGCAATGCGTGCTTAGGCAATGCTCGTTTTGTGGAGCTATGAATCCAGAGGAGCAGACGGTAACGTGGTTAATATCACTAGGAGTGCTCAGCTCGCCTAAAAAGAATATAGCGGATCCGGAGGAGTTTTTGAAAACATCGTTAAAGGATGGGGTCGTCTTGTGCAAGCTCGCGGAGCGGCTCATACCTGGCTTTACTCCCAAGGTGAGTTGTTGATTTAAGTCAATTCAAGTCAACGAACGCCAAACGATCGACGGCTCCTGGCGAAAGGAAGGGAGGGGTTTGATGAAAATGATACCGACAAGAACTTCTCCCTGCAGCAGGCCTTTAGTTTTTTTTGTAGCTCACCGTGCTCGAGCTCTTAAGTTTTAATAGCCGCCTGTGCGTTTTGGTGTGGAGCCGTATGCATCGAATTAAAAGCTGCATTTTGTTGAGTTGTGACTTGTGGGATTTTAAGATGTGGTTTCCTGTGAAGCGAGCAAAAATGTTCCGCATTCTTGACATGAGTGACTCGGTGTGGACACCCACCAAAACAGGACAAATTCGGTAGGGAAGAGCGCGTGAAACATTAGACAAGGACCATATTGGAGAGCTCGCGCAGGGGGTTACACCGGATGCCGTTTTTTCGACAACTTTTTTTCGACATGTTACTCCACGTTAACAACATGCTTAGCTTGTTGAGAAGTTGATAATGACAAATAACAGTTGCAGAGACAGTTCGTCACTTCCTCCTGAACGGCTCTTACTGTCACGACCTCCCCCTTTAGAAAAGAAACGGCGTCAAGACAGCTGAACTAGAATAAAACCGGAAGTAGTAACTTCTCTCTTTTATAATTAACTACCCTGCCTAGCTTGTTGCGCCTTCTGTGTGGTTGTCATACAGCCTGGACTTTACTCACAAGCAGCGAAAAGTCAAATTTGTCCTCCATATTTCCTTCTCGAACGTCTCAACGCGACCGTTAATAAAACTTTATTTTGAAAGTTTGAAAAGTGAGCGGATGTTTGGCTTAAATCCGGGTACTTTGATGATGCTGTGTTGTTAATGGTTATGTATGCGCGAATGAGACGTAGAAAGACTCCAGATATTTAGTTAACTGCAGGTTTACCACACTCGGATGTGCTGCAGCAATGTTACTTTTTCTGTGTAACTGAAATGACAGCAACGTAAGCGTTACATACGTGCTTGTCTGTTGTTGCCTTCTAAGCCGTGGTTTGTGTTTATGCATCTATTTTGTGTGTGTGTGTGCTCAGTATTGCCAGGAGCCGAGAGCTGAAGCCGACTGCATTACCAATATCAAGGAGTTTTTAAAAGGATGCTCGTCCTTGAAAGTGGAGGTAAGTACTTATGTGTCTGTCTGGTTTCGTGTGCTTTGACATGGCCTGCTCTGCTCTCTCTTTCATTATCTCTTTACTTAACTCTCCTGAGCCCACTGCAGTCCACAGTGCACATTTTGACACGCTCTTGCTTGTGTTGTGATCTGCTTACCCTGCTGGCATCTGTTTTCCTCGCACGTCCATGCTGTCAGTCACTCCCACTCTGCAGACAGGAGGGGAACTGCTCTGACTAGTTGTTTTCAAATGGCCACAACTTACTTTTAAACAGTCTTTGCTTCCTTTTTAAATTCATTTTCTCTTTCATGCTGCAGTGACATTGCTTTTTGTATTATTTTGCAGCAGGTTAAAACAATCCCCTGGCCGTACACTGCAGGGCTGTATTGCTAAAAAAAAAAAAGAAGGTTCAAATCATTCACAGATGTTGGGAGTTTTCCCTGTTTCTGCCACACTGGACAGTAATTTCTCCTCCAGCTTCATAAATAGTCCTTTTCTGGTCTTGAGTCACATCAGTTGGTTTCTTTAAACGGCTAATTGAGTCAGCAAGCTTCGCTCACTGCAAGTGGTTCAGTAGTCCTGCCCAGCTGGCTTGTTATGTCTGGGAGGTCCCCTTTGCTTTTATCCAGCCACCCTGCCGTAGCCCATAATTAGACTTTCTGCGGCCAGCCAGTAGCTCATGGTGCAGGCGTTTTTTGTTTTTTTTGCCTCTGTCCAATGTTACAAGTCGAGGGATGTCTGTGGTGCTACAGCCGGCCCTACCCATCCTTATGGTCAGTGATGGTGGTGGTTAGAGAACTTTTTCTCTCTTTTTCTCTCCATAGCAAATGGTGGCTGCTTGTCCCGTGACTGCACAAAGAGAGCAGTTATACTGCTTTCACTTCTGCCCTGAGATGCAGAAAGAGGAAGCACCAATTACCGCTCAGTGCCACAGATTAGTTTTTGCTGCGTTATAAGCTGCATGAGATGATTTATTATTTGTTGTGATTTTACACACTGCTACAGCTTCAGAGTAGCATGTATTCACAACATGACTCATTCAGACTACTGGCGCTGACAATGGTCACGATGGTCAATACTGGCAACATTTATTACTGGTCAATATTGTGACGTCAGACCCACATTCTCCATTTTGTTTTATCAATGCAAACGGGTTTTTCCCAGTATTTTCGACTCTTGAAACCAGTGGCACAAAAACATTTTGCGTAACGTTATGTTTTTTTTAAGTGATGAAAAGTAAGCCAAGTAAATCTAAGTAGTCATGTAGACCCTACGGCCGATCCTATACCTCCAGATGTAATGGTCACACTTGCTTTAAAACTCGATGAGGTTCTACATAACCCATCACCAAGGCTGTACTACTCAAACTCTATATTTAAGATGTTTTATTTAAAATGGGAAACCTTATCTGCTAGAGGAAAGAAGATAGCTGTCTGAGACAGAGTGAGCAAGCAGTGTGACTGTGTGTGTGTAATCGCAAATAAGTCTGGTACTGTCTGTTTCATCACAAACCACTAAGAAAAATATACGTCATGCTCAACATGTCGCCTTTTGTCAATCCCTGTGTGTTTCATTGTGTGTGTGTCTCTCACTATTGTTTGTGCCGTCTCTGTGTCCACTTATTAAGCTTTACGGCTCAGATCTGTGCTATCAGTAGAACAGCTTCTAATTTTTTTTACTCGCTCTTCTTCCACATCTGGTGGATTCCGGCTTGTATGAACAGATGTGTTTGGGGTTTTTGGTCTGATGCCATCTTCTTGGTTCCTTTTCCACCCAGGGGTTTGAACCAGAGTGGCTATACACTGGCGAGAATTTTGGCAAGGTGCTGACCACTTTGATGGCGGTCAACTTTGCCACACAAGGTAAGCGTTTTGCAGTCTCTCTCTCTCTCTCTCTCTCTCTCTCTCTCTCTCTCTCTCTCTCTGTGCCTCCAGTCCCTCATATTGGGGGATTCTTGATGAAAACGTGTCCTCTCTAAAAGTACAGCATCAAATATAATTGAGTAGTAGCATTTGGTCTCACGTTACGGTATCCTGATGTGTGAAAATAAATCCTGACTTCAATGGAAGTCCGTATATTACTCTGCCTCCCCTGTCACTTGACGCAAACATTCCAATAAACAAGCTTGGATAGTGAAAAACGGTACATGCCGCTACATATTAGCAGGTGATTCGTTATTTCCACATGTATGTGCTATGATGGTTTCACAGACTTTGTCCATGCAGCCATTGCAAATGATGATTGTGTGTGTGTGTGTGTTACCCGTGGGCAGCTGGCATGGCAGTGTGTGTTTGTGTCATGCTGCGTGCCATATTTACTCATGTGCATGAATCGAGACACCCTTAATAATATCCTCTTTTGTTCGTTTTATGTTTTTGACATTTCGATTGAGCTCAGAATTAAGCAAAGTGCATTATGTAGTATATCACACACACACACACACACACACACACTCCACACACTTAGGAGCGTTTCTTCAATAAGGACGCAGCATAAAATGGTTCGCACCCCATAGGCTAATTACTTTGCTTTTGAGAGTCCTTGTTTGGGGGCTGTGAAGGGGTTAAACCAGTCTCCCTCTAGTCTCCAGTTCACAGCGGCCAGAGAACCAGCAGCCTTAGAATTATTTAGTCAGCGTTTCTGGATCAATCGGCCACCTCTGCGAGCCTCATGATTAATCATAATGTTGGATGCAGCACGATATTAGCGTTGCTGCGGCTCATAATTATTTTCCTCTCTGTTTTATTGATTACTCTATAAATGTCAGAACATTTTGAAAAGGGTGATGTCTTCCAGTTATTCAATTTACAATGATGCACAACAGACAAATGCACAAAATCCTCACTTTTAATGCGCTAGTTTTTGCAAATACGCGGCTTGTTTTGCTTGATAAATTACCAAACGGATTCATTGCCGTATCATTTTTGACCCATCAATTAATCGGCTAATTGTTTCAACACTACATGATGTTATCGTCCTCTGGGGATATGTTACGCTCGCTATGACTTTGTTAACGCATGATCAATCTCTTGAGTGCACTTAAATGAAAGGGGGAGGAGGCGTGCCACGACGTGAGATGTGGACCAGAAGCTTCTGTCAGTACTCTGCCTTTGCTTGATATGCAAATCTTTTATAGGCTGGCTATGCCCAGCAGCTGTTCTCCCATCTTCAAAAGTGAACTTGATTGGAAGTGGATTAGTCACAAGTTAGTTGATATGATTAAACACAAGAGGCCTCTGTGTTTTCCATCAATTATCCTCTCCTGGCTTTGCTCCTGACATTTCTGTTCTCGGTATGAACGTTTGTTTAGGGTAAATGCTTTTGAACTTAGCCTGCATACATAAATAGCTGTGGTAACCACAGAACGTAGCTGACAGAAGGGCTTGTTAGGCTCCTCTGTGGGTGTTGGGAGTGGCATGCGGGATCCACCATGAGCCCAACCTGCAGTACATGTGGACCGCCCCTTCTGCCCTCTGTGTCGCTTTCATCATGTCAAGTCAGCCCTCCCTGACGTCTCAGCATAAGGACAGCAGTGGGGAATCTCCAGCCTTTTTCCATACATTGCATAGGCTGCTGAGGAAACAAGATTACACAAAGTATTACCGTAGCACATTTTACTGCCCATAAGTGAAAGTGCACACTAGCGTTTGTCAGTTTTATTGCTCTGATCTGAACTCCTTATTGGATCTGAATAAGAGGTTATTAAGGCTGGTGGGGTGCTGTTATTTATTTGCTTTCTTCTGTGATTTGCACGAGGATTAGACAGTGGACCTGGCTGGCATCCAGTTGGCATTTGATGGGCAGTCTGTCCTCTGTGAATGTGTTTCTGCTTGTTAGCTCGTAAGAGGTTGCAGGGGCTGCCATGTGTCACTTTTCAAGTGAGTACTAGCGACAAAAATTGATAGCTATGTCAGTGCACCTCAAGGACTGCACTTCCGCTGCAGGACAGCTGGCAGCTACTGACCATAAATCAACGTGACTCTGCTGCAGAGGCACAGTGATGACACTGTAGAGGGGAAAGCATATCGGTGACATAAATTAGATTTTGCATTTTTCACTGAACTGCACTTCAGATAAGAGACAGGTTTGGAGGAAATTCTGTGAAATATGTGTCAAGTAACCAGAATGAATGTATTTGCTGAACCAACACGTAGACAACAGGAGCGATCACTTTGTATTATGACCTAAAGGCTGCATGTAGCCATTCCTCCTACAGCTGCTTTATCTTATTGTGTAGCCGTGTGCCAGGTTTGGTTAAATCGGACGAGTGTGTGTGTGTGTGTGTGTGTGTGTGTGTGTGTGTGTGTGTGTGTGTCTTTTCTATCCTGGGGCTGTGCAGAGCAATGGACCATACTCGCATGCATTATCATCAAGATGTCAGCACCCAAAGTATGTGCGTCTGCCTCAACTGTGATGATGATGGGATGTGTGTGTGTGTTGCTGGTGAAGTTGTTCACTTGATGAGAACAAGGCCAGGGAGTCGAGGCTCAGACGTCAATGTAACCGATGTAAAGTCTTTCCGTATTTCCTCTGTGTGTGTCCATAGAATGTGCTGCTGAGAGGTCATGTTCGCAGTCCGGCGCTCACTCTCCTAATCAGTTGACATCTTCACACACACTCTCCAAATCCAAAGGCTCTCTGCGTAGACAATCCAAATCGGTGGTACGGTACCTTCTGTATTTTCTGTTATCTACTTCACAGGCTTGTTCACCCCAATTTGACTTTCCACATATTGCACATTTCTACCCTGAATTAGTCATTTAGTTGTTGTTTACCTCAGATGAATACACATTTTCTTGCATAATGAAGAATAAGTATGTCAAGAGAAGCACAAAACATTTTCCACAAAGCCAAATTTACAAATGCAGGTTGAAGATTGTGTGAATACATTTTATAATTACATACGTACAAACACACAGATGTTTTTTGCTGATGCACCCAATTTGTTTGACCGTCTCTCCAACAGGAGATGCCTGAGAACGGTGGAGGCGGGCAGCTGATGGTGAAGGCTCGCTTCAACTTCAAGCACAACAATGAGGACGAGCTGTCATTCAACAAAGGCGACCTGATCCATGTGATGCGGCAGGAGGACGGCGGATGGTGGGAGGGCTCACTCAACGGCAAGACGGGCTGGTTCCCCAGCAACTACGTCCGGGAGATCAAACCCTGCGGTGAGTTTGGTCACACAACCAGAATCGTGGATTCCTGAGTGTGATGGTGCTGTAACACAAATGTTTAAACGGGTACAATTATGAAGTGAAGACATTTTGGATGGACATGGATGTAAATGGCATCTCAGGGTAGCAGAGGAAAACAACCGCAAGGCAGTAATTCGTTTTTTAATATTAGTTGTTTAAAATTTTTGTCGAGATATTCAGTATGAAGTTTTAAAAAAAAAAAAAAAATCTTTTTGATGATTATAATGCTCTAATATTTTTATTTATCTCCTCTACAGAGAAGCCATTGTCTCCTAAAGGCACTCAGCTGACCAAGAACTACTACAGTGTGGTGAGTCAAATTCATGTAAAAATATCATTATTCATTACGTCACTTCGCTTACACACAAAACATGTGTTTTCATGTGGATCTTAATAATACGTAAAGCAGGAATTCAGACATTTAAAATGTATTTGTCATTCTTAAATCTTAACTGTTTATCAGAGTTTGTCAAAAATACTGGCAGCTCATACTGACTTATTGACCATGGCATCAGTGTGTCTGCTTGCATTTTCTCACTTTTTAAGTGAACTAACGATAACAAAAGGACTGATGAAGTATTATGGACTAATAACAACAAAAATAATCCCGGGTAAAACTAGTTAATAATTATCTGAACAGTTTACTTTTAGGAGATATTGTGCATTCTTGAAATCTGCCAACTTTAACTGTTCTGCTGATTGTGCTGCTTCTGCAGGTGGTACAGGACATCTTGGAACACGAGCGGGAGTTTGTCAAAGAATTACAAACGGTGCTCAGTTGTTACCTACGACCCCTGCAAGCCAGCGACAAGTAAGATCAGATCCATTAATGGGCAAAATGCATCATCTAATCCACAGGGCAATGTGTAATTCTATACGCGTATTCTATAAACGAAATTAACGTTTCAGAAATAATTCAATATTTTTGAATTCACTGAAATTGTAATTGTGATAAAGCTCACTGTACTTTCATGTTTAACTTTCTTTCGTCATGTCTGATGCAGAACAGTCGCTATTGCCTCCGCTAATGCTAAATATGTGTGTGTTCAGGCTGAGCAGTGCAGACAGCGCCACCCTCTGTGGAAACCTGGAGGAGATACTCGCCTTCCAGCAGGGACTGTGTGTGTCTCTGGAGGACTGTACCAAGTAAGTCATGCTGGGCCCGGACCTCCATGGAAACATTTTGCTGTTTGGTCAGTTTTGTTATTTAATAAACTCATCTTAGTGGAGAGCAAAGTTTGGACCACAGTGTACACTCTGCTGTGCTTGTATTCTACGAAATCAAAAGCCTTTTAGAAGACCATTCTAGTATTCATTTATGTTTTATTGTAGGTCATTTACTACACTGCACACTTACTATACATTGCTTCCAAGTGTTCCGCAAAGCGTACCGTACTTGATTACATTTTTGGAATAATTTTCTTCCTCCAAGACATTCTCTTCATGGCTCAGAAACCAACTTGCAAAGATTTAATTTTTTTTTTTTTAAATAGTTAATCCATCATAGTCAACATGCAGCCCAATATATTTACTATGTTTGCAATCATTCATTTGGTGCATTCATGCACTGGTTGGGAAACTCTGGCATCCAAGGCTTCTGGAGAGAAATGGCCGGTAGGAATGTGAAGTATCTGCAGTTGTTGAAATAGTGTAAACTATATAATTTCAAGACCTGGGAATCGCTATCAAATTCAGTTTAAGAAATCTTAATATATTACGATTTTGTGGTTAATCTGTTAATCCGATGAGAAATCAGTTGAATGAAGACCTGTAATTTGCCAGAAAGTTCTTGTATTCCGTCAGTAAAACATCTTTTGACAGGATCAAATTCAAGACGCCCTGAATAATGGCAGCATTTCAGTTATTTGGAAATTATTCTGTATATCATCAATGCAATTTTATACTCTCTCCTTCTTCTTTCACTCAACCGTTTTCTTCTGTCTTCGCAGAGTCCCAGAGGGCCAGCAGCGAGTGGCGGGCTGCTATTTAAACCTGATGTGTCAGATCAAGAATCTGTACCTGGCTTACTGTTCCAGCCATCCCTCAGCTGTTTGCATCCTCACTGACCACAGGTCAGTCATGCCGCAGCCGTTCACCACAACAAAGACCAGTCTGATTCTTAATCATGAAGATATTTTGAGAATTGGGGTGAATAGTGCAAATGTAATAGCCCTGCTGTTCAGGCATTTGATAGACTTAAATGTGCCTCATGGTGGTAGACTCACTCAACTAATGAAGGTTACTACTCTGTGGTAGTAAATCCTTCACCCTCTGCTATAAACCAGCAGGGTTCACAAGATGAATTGAAGAGGTCATGAGATGATTTCTTGGGTAGGAAATAAGAGAAAAATATTATTCTGCTCGCCAAATTTTGAGTCTTGTTTAAACTCTTCCTACCTAAAATGTATTAAAATAAAACGGTCTGAGAAAGAATAATCACTATTTCATTGAGTTGCTCAAAACTCGGACATGCAGCCTGTAATGTGTAAAGGTGTCGAGGGTAAAAAAGGTTGGAAACCATTAACCTAACCAACCTAAATGCCCTCAGGCTTTGCTTACTCACCTGTCTAATTCACAGTCATTGTTTTCATATATTTTTGTTGACATTGTTCATTGATAGCTTCCAACCACACGGTGTCAGGCTTTCCAATCCGTAAGTAACCAGGGAGCTTAACTCAGTCTGAGCAGTTACACCGAGTCCCCTGAGTGCTGAAGGTTTCCTTCAACCCGGTCACTATTAAAGAGCGCCACTCTCACTGAGGGGCACCGGCTGTTATTAATCTGTTTCGCATTGGTCAGAGTCGTGGTGAAACAGCAAAACAAAGTTTAATTGATATAGAGTAATGTAGAAATGGCTTGTCCGGTTCTACACAGTGAGCTGCAGGTTAGGTTGAATTACTCACAGGAAGCAGACTGTTGACAGGATACATTGTCATTGTGGTTATGTTGACAGGCAAGCGAGGCGCTTTTTCACAGTAAGCACATTTGCGTTTCAGTTGCAGGAGCCTTTTTCTGTGACATTCACATTTACTCAATGTTACCAGCTCGTGTTGCTACAGGATACCCTATGATTGAAGTTGAAGGAATGGTGCTACTTTCAAAGCACATTTTTTTTTAAGTTTGCAGTGAAGTGAGAGTATATAGCAAGAGGAAAAGTGCAAAAAAAAAACGATGACCTAATTTGTCTTTTTAATGTTATTAACACCATTACAGTTATCTGTGGTCCATTCTCACATGCACAACAGGTGTGATAGGCTGTGGGTTTTTGTCATCGTGTTAGTGGTTCTTACAGCAATGACAAATGCATGGGAACAGATATATTTTGTGAAAATTATAAACTTTATATTGAAGTAAATCTTCAAGTTGACGCAATGTTTCGTGTCTTTGAGTAGTCCCTGAGCCTTGACCTGTGAAGTCGGGGGTGCTGCTCTGCACACTGTAGTTTATCCCCATAAAAGAATCTTAAAAACCTAAACTGAGCTTGTTTTTGTGTGTTTAACAGTGAGGAACTAGACAAGTTCATGGAGAGCCAAGGAGCCAGTTCTCCAGGGATCCTGACCCTGACCACCAGTCTCAGTAAGCCCTTCATGAGGCTCGACAAATACCCCACGCTGTTGCAGGAGCTGGAGAGACATGTGGAGGTACAGGAAATAGAAATAAACTTACAATGTTTAAATATATACTGAAATGATATGTAATTAAATATATTTCTTTGATAAAGGAATTGAAAATACTATCAGTGTTGTATTTATATATGTACTGTATATTTGTAACCACAGCCAACCATTTGTAGATTTGATTTTTGCCCAACAACTAAATGGCATCTAATGACTGACAATGTATGTCAATGGAAAGTTAAAAACCCTTGAGTCTTATGCGTATATTACATCATGCATACTATGTGCTTTAACATTTAGAGTTAGGCTGCTATGTTTGTTGATGTGTTGTTTTTTTTCCTCCACAGGAAGCCCACCCAGACTATGCTGACATTGTAAAGGCAACGGTAGCATTCAGGAGCCTAGTGGTAAGTCTGGTAACATCCAGGGGGCTCTGCATGCTTCAATTCGCCTCCAACTATATTATCTTTGTTCATCTTCACCAGGGATTCGGCTTGTAGAGTACAGATCAAGGCTGAGTAAACAAGCTGTAAGCCTCTCATGTCGATTCTCAATTATTGGGTTGCATCTTGTTTTTGTCCATTTATTGATTTATCTTCCCAACAAAATTCAAGACACTGTTTTGTGTCAAAGGATAAAATGTGGCTTAAAGCTGGGGTAGGAAGTTTTTGTTGTTGTTGTTGTTTTTTGGCGTCATTGGGCGTAAATTCTATAATTACGTTTGAAGTGGTCCGAGAGAAAACCGACTTGTCCTCGCCTCCTATTGGCTCTGTTTTTAGGCTTTAGAAAGGCTAGCCGGTGACGGGAGACGTTGGGCAATCACAGGTCATTTCAGAGAGAGGGCATTCCTATTGGCAGTTAAATGCAGATGCACAGCTTTTAAGAAAGGCCTCGGCGCTTGCGTCCTGTCTGAACAGCTCAAATGGTTAACATGTTGAATTAACCCATAGACCGGCATGCATAAACGGTCAGACATGTTCTCTGTGGTTAACCGCTGACATCCCTCCTGCCGACCCCAGCTTTAAGTAAAGTTGCTTTTCAACTGTATGTTTAGTCTCTAATGTTAATCAACTGACCGTATCACTCGCATGAAATCAGTCTCATGTTTGGGTTATTTGTGAGTATTTGTATAGTTTTTATGATGTCACCTTTGGTTGTCAGACAGGTAACACACAAATGACATAACGTAGCATTTTAGAAACAAGAGGGCAAGAGGGTGAAAGAAACAATGTCTGTGTGTGCTGCATGTTGATGATCATGTTGTTCCTGCAGTGGGTGTGAACTGAAATGGCACCTTTAGAAGAGTTGGTTTAGAAACACGTAACCGCACTGTACCTGAGTGAACATCACTCTGAGACACAGTTTCCTCGGTATAGCTTGGGAGTTCCTAGTAAGAATATTTGAGGTGACTCACATGTCTCTTCAGCAGAGCTGCACAGGAAAGCGGGAAAAAAAACCTTCACCCGATACTCGCTTGTAATTTGCAAGTCTCATTTGTCTTTGTGTTTTCAAGTGGTTGGGTAGGCAGGGGCTCATGAAATGCTACTTACACCTCTGCAGCTCTCCGTGTTCAGAACTTCTTCTTTTTTCCTGTTTGAGGGAGAGCCTCTGCCCAGCACCTGAAAACATGCTACTTTATTTTGCAGGTTACTCCATATACTTATGACAAAGAATGACAAAAAAATGTACACAGTAAATATTGAAGTAAACGTTTCCATTTTTCAAAGCCATATCCACAGTGGGAAGAAATCCCTGCTGCTCATTACTCATTATTTCTAAAAGACTGGAATTCTTCAAATCCAGTAATCTAGAAAAAGATATCAGCAAAACTATTTCCAGATCAGCTCTAAGTTCTTTCCAATTTTTTTCAGAGTAGCCCTATATATGTTATTGTTCTAATGAATTATAAAATGTTTTTGCATCTTCATTGTGTGTGTGTGTGTGTGTGTGTGTGTGTGTGTGTGTGTGTGTGTGT